CAAACAAATTGAAAGTTAAAAAGGAAAGTGTGTCAAACAAATCGAAAGGGGAGGAGGTATAAATTTTTCTCGTCGAAGAGGAAATGAATGCACTAAAGTATTTGCATTTAGATACCGTTTGGCAACACTGTTTTTCGGCTTATCAAGCTTATCGGCCCACTTTTTCACCAAACACGTAATTTTTGCTTTCGCGCGCTGAATTGTATAATAAGCAGAAAAAGTAAAGTTGAAATTACTTTTCTGGCTGTATTGCCTGAAGTTACCGTAGATGACCATTATAGCTATTTTCTTTATTTTATTAAAAAAATATTTTTTCCTTAAATCAGCAGAATCAGTCAATGCAACCACTTCAGCTAAAACTTTATAAATTTCAGCAGAATCAGCCAAAACAGCTGATTTTGGTGCTACCGTTTTTTAATTTTCGGATACTTCAATAATAAGAGACATGTGGCTGAGAAATGCCATCCAAATCATTTGAAAGAGAGAGTTACCTACGAAGGAGTTGCTAGGCAGCCTAGACTTAATATGCAATAGTCTTACACATAGATACACTAATGCATGAACCAAACAAAATGGTGGGTGATTAAGTAGGACAAGTGTACTCGAACTATGCCATTTTAAAACCTTAAGATCGGGAGCAAGCCACGTTTAAGGTTAGAGAAATCAGGCCCAATTTAACATAGAGGAAATGTAGAGGAATACTACGCACAAGATACAAAGCAAAATTGAGTGGTACACTTACACATTAATAAAATGAAATAATGATAGAAATATGATTAAAACAAGCATCGGACAAAAAAGTGATTGTTTTATTCGTTGATTATGTAATTGAAACCTCAATGATCAATATATTGTTTGAATTTATATATACTTAGAAGACAATAACAATTTTCTCATTGTAATTTTAGGCACACTTATTTATAATTCTACTCAAATACTATCCTCCGTCTCTTTTTAATCGCAACATATTGAATTTTACACTATTCACATGTTCTACTTTGACTACATTTTATATTAATATTTTTTGAAAATTATTTTTTTAAAAAATATTTTTCAATTCATCTCATTACAAATTTTCAAAATCTAATTTTTAAATATTTTTTACTAATAGAGATTAAGATATAATTACGGTCAAAGACGTGCATTGACGAGTGTGAAATGTTGACCGTTGCAACTAAAAAAGAACGGAGGAAGTAATACTTACGAAGAACTTCTAAAATAGTTATGTTTTTTTTCATTATGTACTAGCGTTCGTTAGAAATCTCTAAGAGTCCATTTGGGAACAATGGAGTTTTCTAAATGGTCTCATTATGCTGAAATTGGTGAAGATTTGGCCTATGTTATCAAAAACGGATCAGGAAATGACCCGGCCAAGCTACTGGGTCACGGGTCAGCCCGGACCCGAAAGATCAACCCGGTCAACATCGGGAAGACCCGGTCAACGTTTACAAAATTATATTGTAACAAATATATAATATTATATAAAATTAATATTTTATGAGTAAATTACTACCAAGTTTACAAGACTATACGAGTAATTGGTAAATTACTGTCAAGTTTGGAAAATATTATCATGTTTAAAGTCTGGTACTGCAGAAAAGTGACAGTATTTACTCCTATTTAAGAAATAAAAACATGACAATCCTCTTTTGAAATACACAAACGTTTTTAGTTCTATTTTGGGAATTTTTCGAGGAATATTTACATGCTCTACTTCATCTACGATATATTTAATGATGCATTATTAAATTAATTTCTTAGAAATATTGATAAATTAATTTTTAGAATGTGATTTTATAAAATATTAATGGTCGAGGTTGTGCACCCATAAATGTATAAAGTAGAAATACTACGTATTACGGAGTACTCCCTCCGTCCTTTTTTAAATGTCCCGTTTTACCATATTGGGATGTCCCTATTTAATTGTCCCATATCTTATTTGGTAAACTTTGTGTGGCTCAAAATCATTCTTACTTTATTCTTACTTTATCAATTAATATCAATCACACAAACTCTCTTTTCTTAAAACCCGTGCCACCATCTCCTGTCTCATTTAAAAGGGGACGGAGGGAGTAGTATTTAAGTAAAAATCGAAGTGACTTTAAATTCTGATACTGTTCACTAATGCCTGTCTTATTGTTGTGTCAATGTTGTACTGTTGTACCTACTAACTACACTTCCCCATTTTCACTATAGCTCGTTAAGTAGTTAGTTGTACAAAGTTACGAGTATCATTTAAGCACAGAGAACAGGATATAAACGTCAGCTTCACTCGTTGTAGTTGGACCAAATTTTTACTTTCTTTTCTAGGGCATTTGGAGACCCTGTTCTAAATGTAAATCAGAGGCCCTAAATTAATACTCCCTCCGGTTCTTTTTAAACTTCAGTGTTTGACTTCACAGTTATTAAGAAAATAAAGTTGACTTTACTGTAGAGTACACTGTTGAGACACTGTTTGACACTGTTGAGACACTGTTTGGCACTGTTGAGACACTGTTTGGCACTGTTTAACACTGTTTAACATTGTTTTGATGTATATTTCTTTGCCAAATAAGGAAATAAGGAAGTATGAAGTTTATTTTGGACCGTCTCAAAAAGGAAAGTGTGAAGTTTATTTAGAACCGGAGGGAGTACTACGTATAATTTTTTTTAAAATATTAATCTAAATACTTATAATGAAATCAATTGAATACTCATTAAAAAGAATTAAAATAATAAAAGGACCAACGAAAAAATCATGCATCTATATTTTTCTTCCTTAGTAATTGTATTTTACTGATTAGTATTAATATAGTCCGTATAATATTACTCCGTACTATATAATACGGAGTATGAAATACTAAAAGAAATTTAAAATTTTGGAGCCCCATAAATTCGGAGACCCTGTTCTGTATAATCTATTGAACCCCCTAAAAAACGGCTCTGTTCTTTTTATGTAGTCACACACTCACACTTTTATTATAAGGAGTTATATACTTGTATGATCTTTATTGAATTTCAACATGTTGAAATTGTGATGAGCTTCAAATCTCTCACATCTTTCTTAGAAGTGTGACTATTAACAACAAGATATTTTGTTAATTACTATTAACCCTTTGAGATTAGATCGAAATTACTAATGCAACCTTTCATTTTTTAATCAATTAGTTCCCTTCGAGTTTTAATTATTCGCACTATTTACCCCTCTGACCAACATTAATCAAATTTAACATCATGTATTGTTAAATTTAATGAAAATTTTCTAAAAATACATGCTCTTATAAGTCAACATAATCCATCATTATAAATACAAATCGTAATTTTTTTTGGAATTTGATCAACCCAGAGCCTGAAAAATAAGTTCACTATCATTAAGGGGTCCGAAAGGTAAAATATGCCGACATAGAGCCTCAATGATTTAAAACTATCGATCGAAGACCAGAAAATATGATGAATTTTAATTTTTCTTTCGGTGCTGGATTAGGCAACATTGGTTGGCCGCTCTAATGGCGGTGAAGTTAGTATTCACCCTTATTCCAAAAGTTCATGGAAAGACCTTATGTCATTATTACTTTCTCTTTAGTAGTACTTGTTTTTATTTTAGTCCGAGAAAGTTTGTTTTGGATGTTTGGATTTTTGAAATTCTTTTGATAGGCAGAGTTTCGGTTACAGTCATTTTAGGCCTAAAATTGCTTTGTATGAGGTGGCTGACTTTAAGTCTACTCATATGGCTCACGATTGGATTTGTAAATTCTATGATTTCTATCTAATGGTTGTCTTGTATGTGTTCTCGATTTTAATATAACGACCGCTCTTTTATGTTAAAAAAGATATAGAGGTGAGTACATTTTTCACATAGACTTTGCCCAAAATCAAATACGGAATCAAAGTAAAAAGTCATTTTTGGTGTTAGTTTTTTCCTTGCAAAAGATGTTAGGCAAAAAGTAAAGCCTCTAACATAAAAACAATTCAAACATACTAGCAAAAGTAAAAATAAAATAAAATAAAAAATAGATTATATAAATATATCTTGAACTATACGTGAGAAAACACACACTTTTCAGTTTTCGGGATAAAGTGTAGAGTAAAATTATACGTTATCTATAAAAAAATTAAAGTATAGCATGTTTATTATTAAAAACTTTATTTCATTCTTTATTATTTAACATTTTTGTTGACGGTATAACTTACTCGGATAAAATATTCTCAATGAAGATAGAAAGCAGTATTCTAATTACAAAACTAAAAGTTTCGATAAACATTTTAAAGACTTTTATTATTAGCTTTTGAGTGTTTTGTTTATAGTTAATGTGTGTATCCGAATGTTTAAAATAATTTCAAAAAAGTTGGTAACTTACAGATACAACTCAATACGATACACTAGTAGTCAAGTATACATGTTATATAAATGACAACAATGAAACAATTACTAATACGTAGTATATGTGATTAGTAGGTTTCCTATAATTCTTTATCATTTTATTAGAAAGTATTTAATTTCATTTTGTAGAATGTTCTTAATACATATTTAAAAAATGTAGGTGAACAATTAATTTTACATTGTTTTAACTCTTATATTAGACTAAATTTTTTACAAAAGGATAAATGGTTTCTAGTAAGTTTATTAAACCGACAATAACATTCTTTAGTAGGGTGGTTTAGCAGTTAGATATGAACCATAACCAAAACTTTGCAATAAAAATAATTTGCAGGAACTTAAAAAAATGTGTCATACTTGTAGATACTAAAACATATTTAAACCTAAACACTATTAATAACCACTCTCTTCATACTGTTAAGATTGTCTCATCTTTCGTGTTTGATTTGTCTCGCTAAAATTGTCACACACCAATGATAAAACTTGTGTAATTCTAAATCACTTTTACTTAATCAATTCAATATTAACCACATAAATGCATCTTTCTGGTCCGCTAACAATAATTCCAACTATAGATTATTTTTGTATAATCCCAACTATAGCATGTGATTTTCAATATCTACCTGCTATTAGCATGTTATAACAATAATTCCAACTATAGATTATTTTTGTAAATCCCAGATATTACCTGCTATAACATGTGATTTTTAATAGAAATTAAGCATAAAAATTAAAAGTTGGGATTATTTATAGGGATTATCTGTTATATCTCTTCTCATCTACTTTAGAAACTATATGAATTTATTTATAGTCGGTCATGTCGGAGCATTATTGGCGAAAGTTCCCTAAAGTTGGGATTATTATGAAATAATCGATAGTTGAGATTATTATGAGCAGACCGCGAATAGTTGGGCACATGGGATTATTACAATCAATTTTTCCTAAAATATATCCCACACACCTAGATAGAATGGTTTGAATAATACTTTACAGATTAACTTATTGGGCCATGGAACCCAAGCCCACTAATTTCCTACCATTCATATTGGGCTAATATTTGACTCCACCCCTGAAGACTCTGGTCTCCTATCCGCAATTCACCCTTCTCCTTCAGTCCTTCATCGTCCAACCAGGTACTTCTTTTTCAACGCTCCATCTTCAGTCTTCGCTGCGTCAACTTCCATCCTTTTACATACACTTGAACTATCCTATATGAACCAATTATTTAATATTTCTATCGTCATTAGTTTTTGTATGATCGAAATTTCAAATCAGATGTCTTACTCTAAATATCATCTATCAGTCCTATATTTCTCGAAAATGTGTACGTCACATCACAAATTTCTACTCATACCTAACAATATGTGTAATTGTGTATGTATATATATGTATATATGTATATGTATGCATTTGTTGGTTTGTTTGTATAATTGTATGTATATGGGTTGATGCCAACTGAGAATTGAATTGAATTGAAGACCGAGCATACATTTTCTCACGTGGCTGTTTGGCATATTTGTATTGCTATGAATTTCGATTAATGAAGGTTGAATGAATGAAAAAGGTAAAGATAGTAATAAAAAAGTCATGTTAGATATTATGGATTAAAAGTGTAAAGAATCATATCAATAGCAATTCCATATAGGAAAGTTCCTAGCTCTCATTTGATGTCAACCTGTATATGATTATACACAAACCCGTATATAGTTTTATAATTATAATGATAAACGAGTAAGTGGTGGTTATTTTCGGATGGTGTGATAATTTGAGGGCAATTTTTAGATCAATAAACCACTTTTGCAAATATTTTTATCCATATACATATACAATATTGTTATTTAGACCAGATTGATTTTGCATTTTATTTTTTTATAAGACAGGTCTATTTTAAATAAAATATTAGGAGAAGCTATTACATTAGAATGTTTCTGTTCCAGTTTTAATGTTTATCTATTAAGAAAATTGCAGTTTCTGGCAGATTTTATTTTCTGTTTTGACAAAAGAAAAATTTATGCAGAGATCTACATTGTTGGTGACTTGGTGCGGGAAAATATGAACAATTTTTTGTTCATCTTACAGATTGAAATTTGTGATTAGGAAGGATGAGAGTTCTCCTTTATAATAATGTCAAACTTGTGATTGTTTGAGATTTTTAATAAGTGACTTTTTCTTCCAATTGTAAATAATGAGATGAAAAATGTTTATCTCGTTTTGCTGAAATAGATGCAAATGGTCGTTTTTTGATATTGAAGACTCTAGTGTTATTGATAATTTGATATAGCTACAATAGTTGTTTGTCTTGTCATAAAACTCACCATCTTGCTAATTGCTGTCATCCTCTTTTCCTTTTCAAGAGTTACTTATATAATTATTCCCCTTCTTCTTAGTTGAATATGGCGGAAAAAAGTAAACATGTGAGTGGACAAACCTCGGGAATCTCTAATTCTGTACTGAATGAAAGGATCCTGTCCTCTATGTCTCACAAATCTGTAGCTGCTCACCCATGGCATGACTTAGAAATTGGTATTAATTGCTACATTACTTATAAATTAGTCACTTTAGATCATAAAGCCAGTAATGCTCATATGTTCATTGTTATGCGGTTGCAGGTCCAGGTGCACCAGCGGTGTTTAATTGTGTATGTTTAATGACAACTTCCTAATATCCGTTACTCCCTCCGTCCCAAAATGATGGTCCTGTATTTCCTTTTTGGGATGTCCCAAAATGATGGTCCCGTTTCCCTTTTTGGAAAGAAAGATGTGGTCCACATTATTTCACCTTTTTCTACTCAAATCTCAACCACAATTTTTACCTTTTCAACAACTTTATTAAAATTTGTGCCCAAAAGAAATGAGACCATGAAATTGGGACAGAGGTAGTATTAGATACTAGTGTTTGCTCGAATAGTGTTATAGTGTCAATGTAATGGTTGAACACCTGATCTGAGGTATTTATTCATGTTGCAGGTTGTTGAGATAGGAAAGGGTGGGAAAGTTAAGTATGAACTTGATAAAAACAGTGGCCTTATCAAAGTGAGTTCAGTTGGTTTGACTTTCAAATAATCATTGAGGAAACAGTCCAGCTCAACTGGACGCCACTCACTCCCCCATATGGAAGGTCTTGGGTTTGAAACTCCATGGAGGCAGTTTCAGCCCTGTTTACACAAGGCCCCACAGCCCCCTCCCCATGAACCCCGGCCCCGGGGTAAAAAAAAAGGACTTAACATGTCATTTTGGATTTTCACTATTTATTTTTGTGTTTCAAATTTTAGAAGACTAATAAGCCTTTCATATGTAAAAAGAATGTAAAATGATTAGCTCTGTATTTCCCAAGGTAAAGCTTAACATAAGAAAGTATTTTGCTTAGCATTTTCATACCATTTTTCCCATTCCAAACATAGCTTAATTAACCATTTACTAAGATTTATTTGGCTGAATATGTTGACATGTATGAAAGCAAAAACGTTAAGTAAATTTCGTGTCAGCCAAATATGTCAGCAGAATAAGCTGATCAATGTTACCGAACGGGGTGAACGGGTCTTAGTTCAATTGCAACTGCAATGGGCGAACGGAAAAATAGATTACTCGATATAGAAAAAAAGAATCTTGTGTGTAATACAAACATGACTCTTTTATGGGAAGGGAAAAAGCAATGCCTCCATATTCACAGCTTTAGTGGTGCAGCGTAGACAAATGGTTGATTATTTGGAATAAGTTTGCTTACATCTTGCAAGTGAGCTGGTAAATTGGTAATGGAAATCATTGGACTGTATATTTTAGATGTTAGTACTCCCTCCGTCCCAGAATTAACTTCGGTTTTGACTGGGCACGGAGATTAAGAAAGTGGTAAATGTGTGGTGGAGAGTTGTGCAGATGAGAGAGAAATGTGTAAGAATGGTTGTGTACCACAAATCCTTTGCTAAAAAAGGAAAGAGGAGATAAATTTGGGACGGACCAAAAAGGAAAGAATGAAGATAATTATGGGACGGAGGGAGTATTATAGAATTTTTGAGATGTTGTTTTATGTTCTAGGCAAGAAATACAAAATAAAAGGTTTTGTTTAAAATTACCATTTTGTAACTGGATCTTAGAGAATGAGTTAAATGTGATGTGACAAACTAAGACTATAAAGTCAAATGACGAAGATTATACCTTCTTGTACACATGTTTTGTATTTTTTTTTCTTGCGATTATTCATTAGTACATCTTATCATAAAGTAACTATTACTTTACTGTTAGGTGGATAGAGTTCTTTACTCATCTGTGGTTTATCCACATAACTATGGGTTTATTCCGAGGACAATCTGTGAAGATGGTGATCCAATGGATGTCCTCGTACTTATGCAGGTTTCTGGTTAACAAGCTTTTTGTAATAAACCAAAGTCTTAAATTCATCTCTTCACTTGTAAAATGTTCCCTTGTCATTTTAGGAGCCTGTTCTACCTAGTACCTTTCTTCGTGCTCGTGCAATTGGATTAATGCCTATGATCGATCAGGTCAGTACCTTAAATCTTATTTGTTTATAACCTCAGGTCTTCAGCAAAATGACACTCTCTCTGTCTTACAACAAAAAACTTTGTTATTTCCATTTAAAGTAATAAATACATGGTTAAAGTTATTTCTCTCTGATATGAATGAATCTCAACCATACAATTTTACTATCTTATTCCACGGGCAAGTCAACTTTTTCCAAGCTTTACGGGATAGATGGAGTATCTTTTTATTAGAAAACAAGTAGCAAATATATGCTCTCAAAATGATGAGATTTTGATCAATATACCAATGTATGTTAAAGTAATATGGGTATCAGGAAAATGCAAGATAATGATTACAGGGAGGCGGGGTGAATTTGGGAAAGTTCGAAGGAAATAAAATTTGTGGAAATACAATTAAAACTGGTTCAAACATAATAAAAAAGCTTTAGGTATTTGTTCAAACTTATATTATTTATACATTTCTATTAAGTATAGCCCTGTATACTACAAATTATAAATATATACTCCCTCAATATATATATATATATATATATATATATATATATATACACACATACTCCCTCTGCCCCTTATAATTTTGTCATCTTTTCTTCTTTTTTTTCACAAAAACTATGACTTTCCCTTTTAATCAATTAATTTGTGGCTCCTATTTTTTTGTCTCTCCTTGCTCAAACCTCAACCACACATTTTTAAGTTATTATTCCATATGCCAGTCAAACTGGCAAAGTTATAAGGGAAACAGTCAAACAGAGGGAGTATATATGTAAATTTTTAAACCCTTTTAATCAAATTTGTTTTAACTTGGTACTTTCCTAGCTATATAGCATATTACTTTCTCTATTTTATTTCACTAGCATTTTTTGTGTTCGAAACAAACCCTAAAGGATAAGAGATTTGCTCTACAGGGTGAAAGGGATGACAAGATAATAGCAGTGTGTGCTGATGATCCTGAGTTTCGTCATTATAATGACCTTAAAGAACTTCCTCCACACCGTCTTGCTGAAATCCGCCGGTTTTTTGAGGACTGTATCCCCACTACATTTAACCCCCTCTTAATTTTTTATTTATAAAATATACTGCGTATTTATTTTATTTTCTTTTATTTTTATTGCATTTATAGTGGCACTTGCCACAGTAACTATATACTACTCCCTCCGTAACTTTAAAATCTTCCCATTTCAAAAGTAGGTAGATTAAGAATAGTGAAAGATGATATGGATTATTGAGGGTATGATGGGAAAATAGTGGAATAATGTAGTGGAATGTGGGATAAATCCAAAAAAAGTAGTTGTAATAGTGTATTATTTTAAGAATTATTGAGGGTATGATGGGAAGATTTAGAAATGGGAAGATTTTTGTGTTACGGACGAAAAAGGAAAGTGGGAAGATTTTTAAGTTACGGAGGGAGTATGAGCTAGAAGTTTGGGATTATTATTTCACATCCAATGTGTGTATGAGAAATGAGAATCCTTTAACATTAGCATAAAACAGACAAGAAGAATGAGAACAAATCTGTGGCAGTGGAAGACTTCTTGCCTGCAGAAGCTGCTGTTGATGCTATTAAATACTCCATGTAAGTTGTTTCCCAATTGCAATCTGTCTCCATCAATGCTTCAGGGCAACGGCAGTTTGGGCCCTTGCCTTTGATTGCCAACCTTTTCTTAAGTAAATGAATTACAAAGTAGAGGTGAGCACAGTTCTGGTTCCTGGACATGGACAGTTCAGCATTTTGTCCTATCCAATGACCAGCTCAGCCTTTTGTCCTATCCAATGACCCAGAACCAGTAACTGGGCAAATACGGATATGCTGGTCCTGTTTCGGTTAATATATAGTAGAACTCGACTGGTCAGTTTGGGTCCCTAATTTTTGCTTAATGCTCAAAAAAGGATCGCGAATGGGCGGTTTTACCTGACCAGCTCTCCACAATAGATTACCCAACTGTTTGAGAACAGGCTGGTCAGGAACTGGACCTTTTGCAGTTTTGCAAGCCTAAAACGATGTTTGGTGCCCTAACTTTTGTTGTGCTTTTTTTAACTCAGGGATTTGTACGCTTCTTACATTGTGGAGAGCTTGAGGCAATGATCCAATTGCAGGTCAGGTTGAGGTTTTGCACCTTTAGGGCAATCCCTGGGCCGAACAACTGTCTGAACTTATGTTGTGGTAAAAAGAAATACCGTGGTATATAGAACTTCTGGTACAAAGGCCAAAACATTGCTTTAATCAAGCAGGTCTGAGTTATGTTGAGGACCACCTTTTGGCTAACATAGCCTCCCGTGGGGACCAACAAGAGGTGGGCGTCCCTAGAGAGAGAACGCTAGAAATAATCTGTGGTTCCATACATTATTTTAGCAGCTGTTGCTGTTAGTTAACTCTTCTTAATATGGAGTACATGTTTACAAAAAATCAAGAAAGAGTCCTCGTTTAAATAAGATTATTTTGAAAATTAATTGTCAAAAGTAAAAAGCAAAATTTATAAATATGATCAACCTTGTTAAATCAAATTCATGCAAGTGTGATTAGTGACTAATAAAGCTATCGTGTTCCACTATTAATTAATATGAATATAAGTTATACGAAGTATATTGGTCTACTATGGCCTTTTTACGTTCACCTTATCGAAGTTATTAAGCTGTATTCAATAATATGACTTGTGCTTTTTGCAGACGAGGTGAGTATTTGATTTAAAGAAATTACGGAATAATACCTTTAATTGTATTGCGTTTCTTTGTTATTACTCCGTATTACATATCTTACTATTTGATTCTTGTAACGATCATTACACAAAAAGGTGATTGTGCAAAAATGTTTTTTTTGTTTTTTTGTGTGTTCCCAGATATGCAAAACCAGGGATAAAATCTTATCTACCATAGTTAAAACTTAAAACCTTGTTTATGGCGACTTTGGTGATTGGTGACATAAAACCTGTAAACATTGATTATACAACAGTAGTATTTTTTTTGTAATTAGAACTTAAGAGATAATACGTTTTATTTCATGAAAGATAATACAAGCAAAATCTGTAATGTACTCCGTGAGATTTTTAACGGTTCAGTATGTTCTCGTTTTAAGGATGGAACAATTCGGTACCATGTTGTTTCGGAATGCTACAAAATAGTTCGGTACATTGTCAAACACGCTAAAACATTTGGACAAATTTTATAATTAGTAGATATCATCACACCTAGCCATGGAAGTGATGGAACCAGGCTGGTTCGGGTCGGTCTCAGGTTCGGTCAGTCCTGATTTTAAATAATTGAAGCTCATTACTGACCTGGTTTGGCCCGGTTCCGGTTCAAGTCCAAATAGTACCGGTCCCGGGTCGGGCCTGAGTTGATACCCTTTAATTGTTTTTTTTAAAGTAGCGGTTGGGACCGTCTCGTCCGGTCCCAAAAATTTAAGCTCGAATCTCGACCCTCTTTTACCACGGTTCCGGTACCGAAAAACCGGCCCTGGGCCGGTACTGTTAGTACCGGTCTTGAGCCGTTAGTAACAGTATCGGTTCCGGGTTAGATCACAGGGCCCATTCCATCCCTAATCACACCGGTCAATTCACATGAAATGTTTATAAAAAACAACATAGTGCATATTAAATACTAGTAAAGATTCAAGAGGCTGACTTTTTTGTATTTAAATTCACAAATAATCAAATCGTGCAGCACAACAAAACAAAAATATAGCAAAATAATGATACATCAGATAAATACCATCTTTATTTAATTCATGTGAAAATGAAAAAAAGAATATCATCAAATTGTTGAATATAATTAAAAAATCTAACATTCTTCTTTATTCTAGGTTGAATATTAGTTCTAATATAATTCATAGTTGAACCGTATGTACTAAAATTCAAAACATATAAATTAAGTTGTAAAACTACACAAATACGTAATATGATACAATAAAATTCATATACACTACTTTACTAGAAATGAATAGTCATTAAGGATTTTCAATATATACCAAATATAACATAAATTAGTATTAAAAAAACATAAATCATCTAAAAAGAAAAAAGAATACTCCGTAGTTTTTTTTTATAAATACACACATTTAGCTATTTTAGTGATGCATGAATACATACTTGAACTATTAAGTTGTTGGTCTATAGAAAAAATTTATTGGTATGGAAAAAATATAGAAATCTCACATGCATTATTCTTGAACGATTCAGTTCGATATTTTTCGGATCTCAAAAATTAGGACTGGTCTGTACCTGTTTCAAATTATACGATTTGGTTCAGGACAAAATTCTGCAGAATCGCTTCAATATCCGGCATTCGGTTCGATTTGGTACGGTCCCGTACCTGTTGTTTCATACTAAATTCAGTAAAATTTGTATGGTTTTAGATCATTCTTACTTTATTAATTTAATATCAATCACATTAACTTACTTCTGTTAAAAACCGTGTCATCTCCTCTTATGCCAATGTTAGTGAGCCGGAGATAATATAATAATTGAGTAATTGATCCCAATTGTTTTATCATTTCAAGTCATGATAATATTTTTAGTAAAAACCTAAAAAAAATCGAAACCTAATCAAAACAAATTGAATACGAGTATGATTTTATATTTTGAAACGCAAAACCGAGTTGAACCGAACTCATTCAAGTTAAGTTGAGATACAGGGTAACGGGGAGTTGTAGACTTGTAGTTATTTGACTTGTTCGGACTCTTGTTAGTTTTGGTAGTTGAGAATTGGAAAATTCAACCGGCGGGGAGATGGACGGCGGAGACGCGTTGGGGGGAGGGACAGTGACGTGTGCTTCATGGATCAGACGACCGGAAAACGCGCATCTCCTGGCGGTCGGGAAGTCGACGCCTTCATCGCTCGAGATTTTCTCCTTTGATCCCAAGACCACTTCCTTTTCTCCTTCTCCTAAGGTCACTGGTTTTTTGCGTGCTGCGATTACTTGCCGAAAACAGTAACGTGACTTTTTTCTGTTTAGCTCTAAATGCATTAACCGAACTAAATTCTGTGAGAGTTGACTTTGCAGGCCAAGTATTTGTTCGAGGAAGGATGTTATCCCGTCTGCATTGCAGTGCATCCCAGTGGAGACGACGTCGTTTGCTCAACTCCCACCGGCTGCAAGTCAGTCCTCTCTATCTCTGTGGATAAAATTGGTCACTGTTTGGCAATTTATCACCGTTTACATGTTTCTTAGATTTTAGTTACTAAAACTGGTACGGAGTATGAGGTGATTTTGGGGGTTTCAGCTACTGAGCTACCCAGGGGCAGATCCAAAAATGCGGGGTGGGGTGGGCTAAGCAATAAAAGAATTTCTAACTGCACACAAGAGGTTTAACTTAAGGCTGTTATCAAACCAAACTTTTTTTGAAGTATTCGAGTTCTAGCATGATTTCGAATTTAATTTAACAACCCGAACATGGGCTAGATTTTTAGTTGGAATAGTTATTGAAGCCAAGTTCGAGCATAGTGATATTCGAATCGGTCCGAACTCGAGCCTATCGATAACACATAAGTTATAGGAATAAAATTTATATATCTTAATATTTAAATGTTTTAGTGCAATTTTATAATTTTTTAATGATTATTAAAGACTCTGGTATTTATTGGTATGAATTGAAGTACTTCTTTAAAGGTATAAAACTAATAAGTAAAAAGAATCGGTGTACATATAACTAATAAGTATTCCTGTTTCACAATTGAATTGAGATTTTTAATTTTTTTCTTGTATTTCCAAACAATAAATAAATCTAGAACTATTAGGTAGTATATAAATGTAATCTTAAATAAAAACATGCAATATATTACAAAAAAAACTCATGATTCTTTTTCCCGGTTGATAAACTACTAAAATCAGTCGGGAGCATTGCCAAGTTTTATTAGTGAAAAAAGAAAGTGCAAGAGGAGAAATGGACAAGACCAAGACCTCTCCAAAAAGGGCATACCCTTTTTAAAAAACAATGATAATAAAAATAGTGAGATTGGGCCATAAAAAATCCAATTAAAAGAGAAAATAGAAAAAAGGATACCAAAAAAATTCATGATAAATATAGTAGTACTACTATATTAATAATAGTAATATAATATAATATAATAATAATCGTCAAATTACTGTTTAGCATAATAATTTTGTAAATTGATGTCGTAATATAAAATATAAAATACTATAACTTCAAAGGAGTAAGTGATGATGTGGTGTGAGTGGGTGAGATAGGAGTATTGTACTCCATATGTAAAAAAAATCTCAATTTTTCCCACACTGGTTGCAAATAATGGTTCATCCTACTCAGTATCCTATAAAAGAATTGCTCCTTACGTAAATTGAAAGCAACCATGACTACAAATCTACAATAAGCCCCCTGCTCGGCTTTATGCTGTGGGACCATATGTTGTCATGGTTATGGCCTTATGGGCTTTTAATTGTTTGACTTTTCTTTAATCATGCCTTTGGGGTGGGCTAGACAATACTTTTAGGATGGGCTAGATATGAAACCAATACTAATAATAGTAGAAAAGAATTAGGTTGGGCTGGGCTGAAGCCCACCCTTGCCCCTTAATAAATCCGCCCATGGAGCTACCTCACTTCTTGGAGTTCGTCTGGACATTAAATTTGCATCTTTTTCTTTCATTATAATAACACTATCAAGCTACAAGTGTTTCTGTGACTCCTACTATGAGACTGTCATTTAGATGAAGTTCAAGTGTATCAAAATCTATCTCAAAAAAGTAATGCAGGCCCAGTTAAGACTCAAAAAGGTACTTTCAGGACTGGCTTGCTATAAATTCCTAATGAGTCACTGTCTTGTAAATTATGAGAGTAATTTACAACGAGTCGCCAATATTAAAACCTTCCATCTTAAAAGGTCTAGAGTAAATTTTGAGACTGTTTTCTTCAACGAGTCACCATCTCTTGGGACATACTAAACCATCTCTCAACCGAAGTCTTTGGCTTGCCTCCTGTGGACATGGGAGATGATGCATTAATTAACTTTGGTTGTGGGGTTCCTACAATGCACTTAAATATGATTGTTGTAAAATTGTGTCCTGCATATAGATTGTTCGAGTTGTGTGGGCGAGAAGATAATCTAAAACTAACGTGCAAAGAATTCAATCATCTTCAAGATGTGGGCCAACAAAAGTGCCTGGTTTTTAGTGTTGATGGATCTAAGTTGGCTTCTGGTGGAGCTGTAAGCATTCTTATGATCACTAACACGCTCTTCGGTAATGAACTTTTTTTGTATTGTTCCTGTGTTACTATGTTCCTACAATTCTTATATTTAATCTACAGGATGGGCACTTTAGACTCTTTGAGTGGCCAAATATGCGCAGCATTGTTGATGAACCAAAAGCTCACAAGTCGTTCCAAGATATGGATTTTAGTTTAGATTCAGAGTTTTTGGCGTCTACATCCACTGATGGTGCAGCAAGAATATGGAAAACGAGTGACGGTGTTCCAGTGACATCTCTCACACGAAACGCTGTATGTGTCATACGAATTGTGGGTCCATTTCCAACACAGGAAATGCTAGGGAAAGAAAACTTTGAGGAAAAAAATATGAAAGATTTAAGGAAAGTGTCAAGGAAAATAAAATATTAGTTCAAACTTCAAACTAAATCAATTTAGGGCCTATAGATGTTTGGATGTATAATATAAATACTAAGAAATCTTAACAAATGTACAAATTTAAAAATATTATTTATTTTTCACTTTCCCTTACAATTTCTGAAGTAGATCCAAACATAATAACACAACATATCTTAGTTTTTTCCCCTTTCCCTAACATTTCCGGATCCGGCCATATCCTAAAATTACAACCCCTGATTACTTTCATTTATACATGATCATGATTTAGATATTGTGTCGTTCCATCTTTTCTACTACAGGATGAGAAGATTGAACTTTGCCGCTTCTCTAAAGATGGGACAAAGCCTTTTTTGTTCTGTGTTGTTCAAAAGGGTAGGACAACACACTCACATCAGGCTTTGTATATTAATATCATCATTTATTTAAAATATAGTTGAATCTCAGAATCTGAATCATGTCCCCCATAACAAACAGGCAATAAGACATTGATTGCGGTTTGGGACATCAGTGAGTGGAAGAAAATTGGGCATAAAAGCCTACTTAAAAAGGCAGCTTCCATGATGTCAATTAGCTTTGATGGGAAATATCTTGCTGTGTATGTCTTTTTTCTGGCTCTTCATTCCTTCAGAACATTTAAATGGGATAAATTTTCTCTCAAGTTAATGGGCGGCGCAAACAATGCAGGGGAAGCACAGATGGGGATGTTTGCATCATTGAAGTAAAAAAGATGGAGGTGTCCCACTATAATAGGAGGCTTCACTCTGGCTCATACATCACATCATTGGAGTTTTGTCCTAGCGAAAGGTGTGGTAATGGTACTCATCTAAGTAGTCATTTGGCAGCCACTTTTGTAGCTAATCAACCTTCATAGACACAAGTTTTACCAAACACTAAATTATTCGATTGTTTGCACTATGCACTGAATTGGGTTATAATGAAAAGAAGCAGGTTCAAAATGAAGCAGGTTCGCAGGAGTTTATTTGTTGAAGTTGTCTTATATGATCATTTAAACCCTTTTCCATTTTGTTCTGTATTTTATTTAAAAAAATGAAGCAGGTTCGCATAAGTATTTTATTAAACATATATTTTCATAATTCAGCAACTTCGACAAATTTTCCCTTTCCAAATGGGGTCTAAGAAAACCTTTCAGTTCTCAATGTTTGGGTACATTTTCAGTTTTCAGAATTGATGTTTTAGCCCAGATCTTAATTGCACATTGTTGTGTGAGAGCTTTGCAGTATACCAATCACGGAAATAGTAAGGGTCCATTTTGAACACCGAAAATGCTAGGGAAAGAAAATAGGAAGGAAATGTAGGAGAGTTTCACAAGGAAAGGAGATTTCAGGAAAATAAAACTTTGGTTCTCAAATGCTCAATGGTTCTAACTCAATAAACTTTGGTTTAGTACTCTTTTGAGTTCATTTTATTCATTTATTCGTATAATTTAAACACTAAGACATCTAAATAAATGTAAGAAATTATAAATATTAATCATATTTCAATTTTCTAGAAGGAAGTCCAAGCATAAGAAAATGACATTCCATTGCATTTTCTTTTCTATCCGTAGCATTTTTGGAGATCCAAATATGGCCCATAAGAAATTTTGTTATGCATTGTGTCATGCTATAGTTGTTATGCATCTGCAGGGTTGTTCTTACAACATCTGCGGAGTGGGGATTAATAGTGACCAAACTGAGTGTTCCAGCGGATTGGAAAGGTATCTCTCTTTGTCTTTCTCTCTCTCTGTTGGTTGGTGCATTTTTCGTAATTACATCTCAACAATTCAGAATCTGAGACCGATCTCTTTTACCATATTGCCCATTGCAGAATGGCAGATATATCTGTTGTTGTTGGGCTTATTTTTAGCATCAGCTGTGGCATTTTACATATTCTTTGAGAACTCTGATTCTTTCTGGAACTTTCCTGACCCGTCAACGAGGACAAAGATCCACTCTGTACTTGGAGACTCACCGTCGTCATCTGATGATCAAAATGTGTGGGGAAGCTTTGGGGTGGATATGTAATTAACTAATTATATCCCAGAAACTATTATTTAGATATATCTCCCACTATTTAAAAGCTGGGGATTCCATGACACAGGAGGGGAAAGGCATGATAGTTTGTATTGAACCACCCCTGTTAACAACTTCAATATATTTGTACATCAAGGGAGTGTTTGACAAAATGTCGGTTCTCATTTTGATTCCCGTATAAGAATTACTCCCTCCGTCTTATTTTACCTGTCTTACTTTCCTTTTTGGGTTCTCCCAAATTTAGTGTCACCTTTCCCTTTTTAGAAAGAAATATGTGTTCCACAACATTTCACTTTATTAAACTCAAATCTCAACCACAACTTCTACATTTTCAACCATTTTATTAATAATTGTGCCAAAGTTAAAAAAGACACATAAAATGGGACGGAGGTAGTATAATATTTTCATATTTTGTATCGTAGGATGATGTGATTATAAAATGAATAATAAGATCGATGTAGGAAGTGTGGAGCTAGAAGGCATCACCATAAGACTTCACCGTTTTCTGTGAAGAGAGCATTTGTCTTCACAGTGAGAGGAGTTAGACAACTTTTTGTTATAAAACTATTTCCTCAATTTCACTAATATTGATCAAGTTTGAACATGTATAAACAGAAAGTAAAGATTGTGCCCATTTTTATACCACAGTTTTTTTTAAAGGAAATTGTTAATGCTCATTTTTTATATTCTTAAAAGGATGAGAAAAAAGTCATATTACTAAAGGATAAAGTGTAATTTAGCTAAAGTGGTAAGTCTGGTAACGTTATATTTGTCACTCAATGATGTAGATGTTTGTATCATCTAACCTCTTAATGTCTTTGTTTTTATACTTTTGGTTCATTCATTTACAAACAACACTTATCCAATCTAGACTATTTCAATGTTGCAAAATATTGTTCTCACATGGTAACCATAGTTTTGTAAACTATTACTTGAACAATCTAAAATACAAGTATGTGATAACGTAAATTTTCTTATTAATTCTCTTATTAATTCCAGCATGTTGTTTGAAGCATTAATACATACTCCATGTCTTAAAATTATTTGCAAAGTTAGTTAATACATTTCATTCTATTTACTTATTTAGCAAAGGCTAGCTAGGAGGGGCCTGCTAGGTTTGGCCCATCCCAAATTTCAATTCTATTTTAAAAAATATTTGTACCTTTCTAGCCCGATATACTGCCCTGGCTACACACTATTAATTATTTAGCATGCCATTTTTTTCAATTATATTTTTATTTTGATTCTGTGACTATAAAATTTTCAATGTAGTTTTTAAATATGTAAATTTTAATTATTAAAACTAATTTAATCATTAACATGGATGATTTAACTTTATTGTTGATCAACTTTAAATACCACAAATTGCAATACAATTCAGGACGAAAGAAGTATACGGAGTAACTTATAAGATTTACGTTGTAAATGTTTAAAGGGAATCAATCAATTTTTTTATTTGTTAAAATCTATATTTGGTAGGATGAAAATCCATTAGAATCCAGGTTATGGTACAAGATTTCATGAAAGCCTATGAGAGCTCTTATGTTCATAACATATCACAAAAATTCTCATAAATTATTACCGAGTACATTTTGGTTGGCAATTCTTTACATGAGTATCAATGTTACGTTCTATCATTACATGTCTATTGTGGATCCTAATATCCTATTGCTCTTTATGGCCGGCATTGTGGTTGTTAATTACTCCCACTTCTCCTTTTAAGTGTCTCGTTTTAACATATTGGGATATCTCTATTTAATTGTCTCATATCTTGTTTGGTAAAGTTTGTGTGGCTCAAAATCATTTTTACTTTATTCTTAGTTTATCAATTAATATCAATCACACAAACTCATTTTTCTTAAAACTGGTGTCACCCTCTTCCGTCCCAATAAAAAAGGGACGTGGGTAGTAGCTTTTTGTTTTTAAATTTTAAAAGGTATGTACAATATTGATCTTATATTAGATCGCTTCAAGCTATTAGCTATGTCTGAAACCCTGGAAGCGAAATGCTTGAATGCTTTTCCATCTAGGTACATTATAGATACTAGTATCGCACCCGTGCGATGCACGGGATAAAAATAAACCTATAATTTAATTTGACTAAGATATGAAATAAAACGTTATGAAATACGGAGTACGAAGTATGTATTAACTTTAAAGAAATTAAAGTTAAGTTTCACCAATATAAGTTAAATTTATTTGAAATATAAATACTTCAGTAAGGAATACAAAAAATACAAAAGAGTGAAACTCTTCAACTTGGAGTTGTTGATCTTACAAAGTTTACCCTATCTATAAAGGAGTAATTATTTAGATACATTCAGCTGAACAGTGAACACTATCCAATTCTGAGAAATCTTAAGGAGATGATTTTAAATATTTTTCTGGGAATATTACTTTATTTGAAGTTATTGATCTTACACATTTTAACTTATCTATCAACTACCTTACAGAAAAACTAATCCATCAACTATTTTGATATATTGGGTCAAATATTTCCATATTCCAATGATTCCTAAAGACGTGATATTAAGATTTTTCTTGCAATATTATGATTTTAAAAACAGATACATATCAATATATATTTTTCACTCCTTTTTAAGTTTTTTTAAGTGTAATTAATTCAGCAAAGCATTATGATTTTAAAAACAGATACATATCAATATATATTTTTCACTCCTTTTTAAGTTTTTTTAAGTGTAATTAATTCAGCAAAGCATTAACTTCAAAAACTAAAATCTGGACCGCCCTTATTAAGTGTGGCCCACATATTCGGCCCGAACACTAATTACAAACTCTAAGTTTATATACTCCGTAATAGTGATGGGAAAAACCGAACAGAAACCCGGAAACCGACCCTGGACCGACTCGAATTATGATCCCGGTCCGGGTTTTTTCTTTTTAATCGGACCGAATTCAAAAAAACCCGGACCGAACCCGAAATTTCGGGCTCATTAACGGGCCTTAAAATATATAACCCGGCCCGGACCGAAAAAACCCGAAACAATTAGCTTTAATATAAAATTAATATAATATATGAATATAAATTTATAAATATTTCCTAATATACGATTATAATCACGGTGGATAAAAAAGTGATTTTGTAACTTTTAGTGACTACAAATTTGTTCAATTTTTAGCGTAATTACCATGAAAATATATTTATGGCAACTCTAGTCACATTGTTATCTATAAATTTTATTTCGTAATATTTTTAAGAAACCTATATTATTTATTTATATGCATCGTAAATAAAATATTAAGATAATTATCTTCTTTGGATTTAAATTGTTGGTGATTTTGGAGACTAATATTTGTGTTATTATTTGCGCTTTGTAATTTTGATTAATTTTATTTGAAAATAGGTGTTAAAATATAAAAGAACAATGAGATATTTCACGTTCGGGCTTTAACCGACCCAACCCGAACCCGGACCGAAACCGGGCTACCAAAAACCCGACTCAGACCGAATATAATGGGCTTTGTTCCGATCCCTAATTTTCATAACCCGAGACCTTCCGGGTAATTTCCGGGTTTAGCAAAAACCCTCCCAGACCGGACCTATCTCACCCCTACTCCGTAATACTCCGTAGAAAGTAAGGAGTTTTAATTAACTTTTCAATTAATTTAAAATATAAAAGAACAATGAGATATTTCACGTTCGGGCTTTAACCGATCCAACCCGAACCCGGACCGAAACCGGGCTAACAAAAACCCGACTCGGACCGAATATAATGGGCTATGTTCCGGTCCCTAATTTTCATAACCCGAGACCTTCCGTGTAATTTCCGAGTTTAGCAAAAACCCTTCCAGACCGGACCTATCCCACCCCTACTCAGTAATACTCCATAGAAAGTAAGGAGTTTTAATTAACTTTTCAATTAATTTAAAATTTTTGACTGCATCTATCTAACACACGGTGGTGGTTCAGAGCTGAGACCTCCAGAAACTTCCCTCCTCGCCCCCCCCCCCCCCCCCCACCCGTTTATCCTAAATTGAGCTCAGGAGCTCCTGGTCCCTACTCTTCGAGAACTTAATAGCCTGAAAGAAAGCAATTTGTCGTCAGATTATCTTTATTACACCAACCTCTTCCCCCTTAGATCCCGTTTTATAGTCTCTGGCCAGTACACCATGTCCTCAAATCATCTCCCTCATGTGTAGCACATCGGAGCTTCTTTGTACTTTTAAGAGGTTTATTCTGAATTTTGAGATGTATTTCATCAATTTTTTCAAAATCTATGTTGTTTAGCATCCTTAATATCATTTTTTTGCCAGTAGGTAAACCATCAACGGTATATATGAGGTTCATGTTTATTCTATGCTGTCGCTTTTCCAAGTTCTCTTGTATTATCCTCATATTTGATTTTCTTTTTTCGTGCTTCGAAAAAAAATCACCCTTTAGTTTTTTCCATTATCTTAACATGATTTGTGTGCTAAATTTTTTAAGCACTATCTATATCAATATTAAGATTGTTCGTGAATATGCACGTTTAGATCGAATTTTGTAATGATTTAGCTTTATGCTTGTACTCTTATTTTTTTTGTAATCACTGAGGCCATATTACACTACTTTAGTATAGGTCGATATTATGTCTTAAATGTGAAAGATTTATATTAAGAAAAAGCAGAACAGTAAATATATTATATACATATTTGCTATTGTTTTATATATTAAGCAATAGCAATTCACTAAGAACTCAACTGGTAATGTCTTTATTACAGTTACTTGCTCGAGATGTGTCAAAGACTCAAAAAGGAATTGGAATATTGTACTACTTGAGATTGGAGTGCTTAGGTAACCAACCACTCTTCTATGAAAATGTGTTTTAAATGAAATTAATTTTAAATAAAATTTACCATTAATATGTTCTTAGCTTTTAATTTGGATAATCAGAGTGTTACCGCATACTTTGGGTCTTCCAAAACCAATTCAACCAATTTTTGGGTTGCTCCATTATGCTCACGTGGTCTAGGAAAGTGTATAGATCTCATGCTCCCTATAATATCTGTGTTGTACACAAATTGGTGTGCATGTAATATTAAATCTGAAATATACGAATTTAGGAATATAATAAATACTTTGACTAATTTATACATGGAAAATTTGATACCAAAGAGTTCTTTGACGTCAACCTGGTTTGCGTGCTGCCGCGTTAAAAATGGCCTAAAATTGAACAACATCCTTGGAAA